GCAGTGCGAAGACGACCAGAGCACTTTCAGCAAGCGTAGGTCTTCCGTCAGAGTTTAAATTATAGGATTGATGATATTAATTATAACTTTTCTATCTTGCGATATCTGGCGCCACCTAGCCTAGACACATTTACACCCATTCGCTTTAAATCTTGACATAAATTCTGCGTCCTGTTAAATCACCTACCCCAACAATTTTGTTTATTATCTCACTTTTCCGCCCCGTTTTTACATCGATCTGGAAACCTCAATATCATGCTCGTAGTCCTCCATTCTTTCATAATCGCCAGCGAAACCTAGTACTCCCGCCGAATCCGTTTCCCCTTCACGGAGAGCAGGACGAAGCCCCGTGCACTTCAATACCACACGTTCTAGCCTTTCAATATTATGGCATACGGAACACAGGAACATAGGGTAAAGCACTGCTTTAAAAATCAAATGCATACGGGGTGCGAAGGGTAGCTTCAACGATGATACAGAGCCTTTTTTTTTTAACATCGGCACCAGTGTGTCGTAATTGATAGTCAGCGCTCTAGCTTAAAAAAAACTGACGTCAGGGGTGCCACAGGGGATCATCCTTGGACCCCTTCTGTTTAACTTATGCATTAATGATATTGTCAATATAGACGACAATGCAGATGTTATGATCTAAGCAGACGACACCAGTTTATTCTTTTCGGGAAATGTTGTCCACCGGGTTTATAGTGCGGCAAATAGCGTTTTGCAGAAGATAAGTGACTGGAGAATCTCTAGCTATTTAGTAATTAATGCAGATAAGACGAAAGAAATACTTTTTCGATACAAAAATACAGTGCTTTCACCTACTCAAGGGCTCTCTCTCCGGGGACGAAATATTGACTTTGTACAAAATGGGAAGGTTCTTGGTGTGATTTGTAATGTGTACATGAGCTGGGACGAAGAAGTACAATGAATTGCTGGCAGATTTTGGAAACTTGTGGGTATTATTTATAAATCCCGCGACATATTACTCCTTCCGGTCTTAATCCTTCTTTATAACCCCCTCTTTTACTGTTTCTATAATTACTGCTTCCTTGTTTGTGGTAGCACAACGGTTACAAATATGCATCACTTTCACGTTCTCCACAAAAGAATAATTCAAATTCTGCGCAATGCGGAGTTCAACGCTCACACATTACAACTTTTCTAAAACCTTCATATAGTTTCAATTAGAGATCATTATAATTATAAACTTCTTCTAACATATCAAACGTCTGTAAGGCAAAATACACTTGTTTTTCTATCGATCGCCAATTTTAAGCGGAGGGTGCCTGCATGTGCAGGCTGTTGTGTTGACGCATGGTCAACGCCTCGCTCCAGAACCGGCTACGGCCTCCAGATTTTGAGGTACTCGTTGCCTAATGTTATAAACAAAACACATAGATTGGGCATGGATGTGATGAGTTTGAGGAGAAAGTATATTCGGTCATTGTTTCTCTAGTGTTATTTGTGCCTATTTTCGATGGGACGTCCGACCTGCAAGAAATGTTGGTGATGTATGTCAGATATTGTTTTCTTCTGTTTAATGTTGTGTGCTTTGCTCCTATGTAAACCTTGTTCTGCGGGTCACTAGTATGTAAAATAGTTTCACTCGTTGCTGGTGGGAGGAGAAACTCTGTCAAGTGACAATAGTCTGCTTTATTTTCTTCCTACCCCTCTCCTCTGGAGAGAAACAATAAAGTTGAAAAGTTGGAATATCTTTTGAAATTTATCACTACGTGTCTTTGCTCTTATAACTTTCTCGACTGAAACAGTGTACAGCTTCCTTGTGGATTATCATACACCTGCTCCTTTTTTACCTCCTGCTTTTGGGACTTGCACATTGCAGAATGTTCTTGCATTATTACCTAACAAATTTTATTTTCCGCGTCTTGTTTCTATATTTTTCACAGAACAAATCTGTTCAACTTATCAATAGTTAGTAAGTATTTAAAAGGGCGGGTTTCAAGTTCGGTTGGTTTATTATGTGTTTGAATGCTTTCATGCATTATTACTTAATTTACTAAGTGACTTTCTGCTTTCAAAGAACATCCAGGTCATTAAAACCTCGTAAGTCGAAGCGGTTTATACTACTCCAGTTAAATATTACATTGCAAATAATTTTAGTGTGAGGGTAGCTTCGAATAATAAATATTCACCCCAGAATATGTTCTGTGTACAGTGAAATGCTGACCTTGAGGATATTCGCTAGCACCACTTTACTCTGTAGTATTACAAAAAATTTGAAACGTTCATTAGGTACTGCTATACATTCCTATGTCTGATGTATTACTAGTATTATTATTGCACCTAATATATGGCTAGCGTCTAATACGAAATGTTTATTCTTGGTATTGATGCCCTATAAAAATAAGAACCAACCAATTGAACATGCCTTAAATATTAGTTGTATCATCGTGACTATAAACAACAGAGTCCATATATTTAGACAAATTGAAGAATAACCTGGGAAAATCTATTGCCCAATTTTTTGTAATTATGTGTTTGCCCTGCATTTGCCTAGTAGGCTATTGTTGCAATAGACCCATATCGTGCACAGGTTTGCTACGTTTAAACAGCCTGAAATGAGCACAGCGAACAAATAAAAATATTGTGTTTATTCGCAGCCAGACAATATTTAAACATCTTGTTCCAAAGATAGTGTATTCTTGAGTAGTATAACAATATAAAGTGAATATCAGGAAAACAATTGTGAACACTTGTTATCAGAAAGGGAAGCTAGCAACATTGGCTTAAGTTAGAGTTTTATGAAAGGCAGTATTGCATTCATTTCACAGCTGACAACGATCTAGTACATCTATAGTTACGCGAAGGACGTGTACACAGCAAGTTTGAAAACAGCGCATCTAAGAATATTTGAATGTCAATTCAGTGTTACTATAATATAAATAATAATAAAAATAATATACTTTATTTTCTCGTAGTGTCCGAAAACGGCCACGAAGGCCTACTTATTGGTACACTATAAACAAAATCAGAATCACATTAAGGATGCATTTCTCTGTTGAGGCACAAATAAATCAATACTAACTACAAAATTAACAAACGTAATACACGCATATACCATGACACTAAAGATAACACAAACAGCTAAAATCAAAACACAATGCTAGAAACGCAAAAAAAAATTTCACACTATAAATTCTTCACCATTTTTAAAAACGTATCTGCATAGATAATGTACATTTCAAACGTTTCAGTTTTATGTACATTTTTTTATTTCAGTTATGCGTATGTAAACTACTTACATTTCACTTATATCTATGTCTTAAACATTTCAGCATTAAACCAATTCAAAAATACCTCTGTAATGTATGCATGTATATCTTCTCTGTGTATATATGCGAATATAAAGGCAATCTAGTATTCAACCAGCGATATGGCGCGTTGACAGAAGCATTCATGCCACTGTTTTATCGTGCTCCGTCGTGTAAGCAATCTGGCACCAGACAAGAATTTCCCATTACAGAATAGTTTTATCGCTCTTACCTGCAACTCTTGGGTACTCGCGTGCATTTGTACGTCTGTAGTTCTATAGTTCCTCCCAGGCCCTGGGTTTTCACAACAATTTGTCTCAGTTGCTGGTATTTCCGATACAGAAAGTGGAGAGACATACATGTCACCGATAAGCAGAGACATCTCCTGATTTGCGGGTAGACGGAAAAACAAACAGAAAAACTTCCAAGTAGCTTTGGTATCTGCCGAGTGATAACTTATCTAGATGTGGTATTTTCCGTTTAATGTTCTACTCAGATTTAAGGTATAAAGGCAACTCACCAAGCGGAACGTAGACACAACAGTATCTAAGTTCTCATTTCAGGTGAGTCGAACTCTCGATTTCAATTAACCGTTTTGAAACAACGTTTCAAAGGAGCTGTATTATTTTCGTGCGTTCTCTTCAATTCTCTTCATTATATATAACAGTGAATTTAAGAATATTTTCGTGTGTAGCAGCCCTTTTTTTAAATAAGAACATTCATGCACACTCTTCACGGGTGATTTTGTTGCGCAAAGAAGTTTGATAGAATTCTACATAATTTTGGTTATTGTTCGCCTGCAAAAAAAGCTTTTTTTTATATTATTATCTACACAATAAAACTTTTACCGGAGTCTGATAATAATATATATAGTGTTTAAATATTGACTGTCTCGGAATAAATTTAAATATGTAGGTTCAAGAATAACTTTTGAGAACCAGGGTAATCATTTATCTATTAAGCAAAAAGAGTGCACGACAACAAATATCACAGCTGCCAAAATATATTGAATCCATAATTGTACTGAAAAGGGTCAACAAAAGAAGTTGGTAGAAATAACCTACATAGGCTCAACCACAACATCGCTTCGCCTAAGCAGCCAGGTAGAGTTAACTTGTTCATTATATAATGCGAGGTAATGCGCACTAGCACACCATTATTTTTTTAGACCTGAGCAGTTATATTTATCAAAACATTCATCTCCAGTCAAGAACGTTGCTCTAAATACACATTTTAGTCTCTGTGAATACGCCATCTCACAAACATCGACAGATGCATATGGAAGGTTTAGTTCGTACTCACCATTTAAGGATATCTTACCAATGATAAGTAGCAGACGACATTTACTGTTGTAGGTAATCATTGTAAAACGATTACATAGTTACATAACTCGGATGTACAGGGCAATACTTGTGATGTTTCATTTGATGTTGAATTCATCGAGTATTTCTCAATACAGCCACCATGCAAATCTTTGTGACCGTGCTTCTTCTGGCCATTGCGGCCGTCACGTGTGAGTAACACAGCAAAGTTTCTCAAATGCTAAAAGTAAATTATGCTTTTACATTACTTACGGATACTTTTATTCATGTTCCTTTCGCAGATGGCCGGGTGGCGTGAGTAGACTTGCATTTCTTTTAATATTTGAATTGCTTAATATTTGTATATTTTAATGAGCCACGTAGTTTTCTTCCGCAAAAATTAATCAGAATTTTATATTTTCAGCGAGCCTGTGAATGTGCCGGAGGAAGGTGAGTTAACATTACACTTTAATACGCGTGAGATAGTTAAAGATAGGCTGTGGTACTACAGTAGAGTAATTAGCAAATGCCAAATTGCCCTACAATACCCCAGAATGTGAAATTGTGTGCGGTAAATGATTGTGCATGCACAAGGCATAATGTCTAAGGTGAAAATCAAATACCATATTTGGTATTTTCTAGTCGTAATACAAACTACTGAAGTACCAGAAAACAGATGTTACATATTTGATTGACGTACGTAGAAAAATAAAATAAAAATGTATTGTTTTAATATCTCATTTGTACATAAAATATAGGTTTATATGCTTCGATTTTTACGTTATGAGTTTGAATAGCTTCTATTGCATATTGCAAATTTACCAAATATACTACTAATTTACGCAAAACGCAGGCAATGCTTTCGGACTTACCTTTAAAAGTCATGACGAACAGACTTCAGCAACCAAATTTAGAGAGAAAGATACTAGAAAAGCAAGCGCTTATACAACTATGTTTTGCAAAAATTGTTCGTCGCTTATATTATCAAATGTTAAAGTGTCATATTTAACATTTGTTAACGTTAACAAAAACCTTTTTATTCAAATATTTTATATGAAGTTCAAGAACGCTAGCAATTGGCGTGTATATCAAGTATGACCTATATTTCCTAATGACATTGAAACAGTAATTTTTTCCCCGAAATGCCTTTCGAATGCCTTTAACTTAAACATAACTATTTCGTTGATAAATAAAGTTACTACTAAATTAAATGGGATATGTACTATTAATAGTGATGTCGTGAACTGCATTCGATAGACAGCTGCTAATATAATTACTGCGTAATTTCATCTCAAATCGTGCAAAAAAAAACCTATGGGTCCTAAAAAAACAAAAAGAAACATGTTGATAAAAAATGCAGGACTAGAATCGAACTGCGAATTATAACTACGATACTTTTAGTAAAAAATATCTTTGCAGTCTTGTGATCTTTGCAGTTTCCACGAGCGACACAACTTGGAGTGTCGAAATATGTCCACTTTTTTTTTACTTTATAACTTTATAACATTTTACTCCTTTAAGGCTTCCTATAGAAGGGTTAAAGTTCTCTGAAAGTCTGTTTTTCCTATTTTATTTTATAATGTAAAAATTAGTGAATCTTGTACTTTGCACAATAATAGGCAACGTTTGTATCGATCCAGCTTTCCATCTACAAATATTTAAATCATATAAATACATTTGAAATCAAAGCTTGTATCTAAGCCAATTCAAGAATCTGTTGATATAGATGTAGTTTATACAGGATAAACAACACCGTAAACATCAATTCAATGCTAAAAATAGAAAATTTAACCTAATATTATTTTCATTTTTATATATAAAATCTTTCTTTGTGTTTTATAGATGCATTAAAATTTCTTTGACATGTATGATTTCGGCATATTAAGCAATCCGTTTCAAAAAAGATATTTTACCTCCATTCAAAGATGAAATGATATTGGCCATTGCCACGCTGTTGCGTAATTATATATATATATATATATATATGCGTGTAACGGTGACCATAGTATTAGCGATATACATCATGTAACATTTAGTAAAACTGGGGCATGACTGGTATGTCATAATTTAAAAACAAATGCATGCACATGTCCAGTTTACATAAAATCTTAAGATCGACAGCTTTTATTTAAATAAACTTATTGAAACGTCTTTTTTCAATTTAACAACATAAAAATTAAGTTTCACAAAACTTTGTCATGCAATGAAATGGTGAGGTAAATTATTTTCAGAAGCCTAGCGGGCCGAGTGCGAAATTTTGCTTCTTTCATGTGGCCGCATTCCTACGTATGCTGGCGAGGCTTGAAAAAAAAACTTCTTGACTTTTTTGTTATTTGAAGCTATCAGAGGTCAGAGAGATAAGCGTGGGAAATGCATAACAATATATCGAAGTTTTAGTATAATAACCTCACAGTAACATTTATAGTGTTAAAAGAAAAAGTAATTTTAAGTGTGGTTAACATTACTCTTGAGGATTCACTTTTTTTATTTGTTATCACAACCCCGAAAGACCCGTCTCTATTTTGAGCCTCCATCCAGAAGTGGCCAAACTGAATGTTTCTCACAAGACTTAAAAAAAAACTTCATTCTTTCTTAAAGTGTCGCTGTATTAAGCGATGCGTGCTGCTTCGCTTTCTAGGAGTACAATTCTAGGCGCTTTCGGGGCCACTACACGACAAAAATCATCAGCACTTCCAAAGTTTTCCAGTTTTGACGACATGAGGTTCTGCAAGAGGATTGGTGCTTGAGGACTGTCCCCACGCCATTACACGTGCTTTTGCCGTGGCCCGTAGCTTAAAAAATTAATTTGGTCACCTCATGTCTTTTCGCCATCTCGTACAGTAGAAACCTAGTTTTGAAAGGACTAGCCTCTGTGTAGGAGATGTGGATAGTTTTTGTAAATATCGAAATGTTTTCTTCCAGCCACTCTTCAACTTCTCAGCTGTAGACTTCGAGCTCGTTGTAGCGACGTAGGTGAAAATACACACGATACTGTCCTCCCAATGAAAGCATTGTTCCGCTCGCAGAACAACTACGCTCCAGCTTTCCCAAAAAATTAAAATAGCATGAGTCTTGAAACGCAAAATTTTCGAGCTTATAGCAAACCGCTGAGTAAGTCGAATGAATTAATGGGGGAAGTATTTTGTTTCACACTTTCTCAGCTCTATGCGAAATGCGTTACTTCCAATTTTTTTCTTTATCAGTTCGCTAGATTCCCAAAAAACTACTTCGATTTGTTCGTCTGCCTTTATTGGCAAAATTCTAGTGTTAAACCATCAGTTTCGCACAGACCTTACAGGTCAGCAGAACGCACTCTTTAGTTAGGTTAGCGCACAGGAAAAATCATTCAATGTCTTCAAGACTGAATTCTTGGTTGCCAACGTCTAAACTTGCTGTCAGGCAAAAAGTACTTGATCCCTCTCTCAATATTGGTTAACTGTGTCTAACAAAGTGAGATTAAATGCCCGATATGCGGGCAGCATAGTACCTGCCAGCGAAGCAAAACGGTTATGAAAGTCTGCCATCTCGAAGGTGGCGGAACATGAGCTTTAGCTCTGGTAGCACCTCCTGGTGATAACAGGTTTTCTATAGCTTCGTCTTTTCTATCACGTGCATGAACCGTCACATGATAGTCGTTTCTAATGCTTCTAGTAGCCCTGTCTTTACTGAATAAACAATCACAACAGCTATCTAAGAAGGGGATGAAACACTCTAAGAGGTAAAAAAGATGGCGGAATGTTTGTCCTGCTCGGCTTGATAATTTTCTTTCTGTTCCTACTTTCCGTCAAAAAAATAGCCAAAACAAGAACTCTGAAGGTACTTCTATCTAAAAAAAAAGGAAATACAAAAAGGCTAAATTAGGGAACATGCGCACATTGAAGAAACAAGAAAGCAAGCGCCGAAGCAGCGCGTTGCTTTCAGAACTATTGGTTTAAGCTCATATCATTCTACGAGAGTTCTAACGCAGATTTGGATTCGCAAACATAAAAGTGGCAATAGTAACGACGGAGATTCGGAGGTTTCAACAAGCCTGTATTAGTTATCGTGTAAAGAAAGTCGTTTGAATAAAGAAAAAAATGCACGCACGCTTATTGACGTGCTTCGCGGGCCGTCGCTTTTAGATTTTTTTTTCCCACGAGTGCACTATTAACTCACAGAAACCCTTTAAAACGTCCTATATCTGTTTGTTAATCTTGTATGACAACGCTTAAACATTATTGAAAATTTCAATTTATGCAGTTTCAAAGCAACTGAACGTGCGGAAGAACCCCCTATACATATTATTCTATAAATGCTATTGATCTATAAGTTTTGTCGAACTGTGTGTGGACTTAAGAACCATTAAAGACTATGATCATGTTACAGAAATAATAAATATTTAAGTCAGAAACAAAATTACAAAGATGTGCATCGCAGAAAAGAGGTCCAAATATCTTCTTTGTCTTCATTAAATGTCTTCTTTTCAAACGCACTGCCTAATATGTCGATACCCCATATACAAAATACAATTTGTAGGATTTATAAAAGCACATAGAATTATTTTCATATAAAAAAACTGAAGAAATAAAAAATACTTTTTTCTCATATTGAAGTTGTATTTTGTACTTTTAACACTTTTTATCATGTTTAAATTGGTTTATTTTTATAAACTATAATATAAATTAACAATATTCTGATTTTAAATAGGCTTAGTTAAAAGCTGTCATTTGATGTGTCTCTTAGGCATTAAATAAATGTATATCGAAAACAAGCTGGATTCAAAGTGGCTCATTATTGTGAAAAGTGTTAGATTCAATATTTTTTTTGTGTATACGATAAAATTAAAATACACTGAGTGTTAAACCAGTAGAAAAGTCATAATTATTGTGAAAAAGATAGTCTAAACGCTGCGAGACTCCAGAATGTACCCCTAGTGAAAACTGCGAAAATTCAAAAGACCCAACTTCTGCCTTTTCGAAGCCCAAGACTCATCAACGAAATAATTTCTGCAGTTCTACTTCAACGTTTTGTTCTAGTCGCACATTTTCCACCAACATATATTTGTTCAAGAATTCTTGAGGACCTATCAAAATTTCCTGCACGATTTAAAATGAAATCACCCTGCTACGGTCTAATATGTGTGAGTTAATTTCGACTGCGTCATTCAGTTTCGCTGCATCAGTAAAACACCGTACAGATCGAGTCCACTTGGTAACTCTTCTGTGTAGGGCGTAGCTGGAGTTTTGACTAATTATTCATAAACCTTTGGTCTGTACTTAACTGGCGGCCTGCCTAACAATATTACTTTCAGATGGCATTGATAGCTACCGCTGGAAAAAACCCGTTGGTGTCGCACTCGAGAAGATCGGCAAGTGGCTACAGCGAAGGGGGCGGTTTTACACTGCCGAGGACGGTGACGGAAATGATGCTGAAGATTTCAGCCCCAAGGACCTGAAGGAAATTGGCGCTGTATTGGGGAAACTGGCCTTCGCACTTGAGGAGGGCAATACGCTGGATGCCGCACTCGACGGCGACGAAGCTTCGGAGTACGGCATCGGAAAATGGGCCAAAAGGATTCGTGGGTGGGCCAAGCAAGTTCCGCCCGCCATCGGTGGATAAATTGAAAATTGCAATATTACCATTTAAGCATACCCAAACCATTGCATTCTCATGCCTTGAAATAAAGAATCGGTGTGTTTCTATTTACGGGAATTTGTATTTCTGTTTTTATGTACTTTAGAAGGTTACATGTTCTTGCTAATGAACTCACTCATTGTTAAAACTTCAATGTTAGTATTATGTTACGATGCATTCAGATAGAATAAAATATAGCAGTTTTGTTTACAATATAAGTGTTAATGTACAGTAGAATAACGAGCTTGTGGAAGCCTTAAGGGCGTTTTTACCTTCTTCCACAGGTGGAAAAAATTCGGTAGATTGAAAATTGCCACAAAAAGACTATGCAAAACTATCAAAAACAAACAATACATTTGATCCAAAGCAGTTAGTGAGGAGAATAAAAAATCTTTACATAAAAAAAATTAATCGTCCTGCTTTCAATTTCCTAACGATTTCCTGGGCTTCTGTCTATATAGAAACAAAGTTGTCTGGTGAGGCATTGCAAACACATTGAATATAATACATGCGAGTGCGTTCGCATTATTTGTTCTGATTTGCGGAACATCATATCGAATGGAAGGTTTCAATGGCCGCTAACTATGTGCGGCGTTTTAAAATCAGAGTTCCAGAAAAGGTTAACTATGACCTTTCCTCTAAAAAGTCCAATACGTTTTGGCAGATTATGCGCGCTAAATATACATTACTTTACATTTCAACTCTACGAAACGCCATGCTTTTCAAAGTAACTTTTTAAGAGAAAGAGTTGACTCTGGTACACCGAAACAAAGAGCAACCAAAAAAGATTGTTATATCGTAACGCATGTAAGTACACGCAAGAGCTTGTATCTTCTGTTTTCCAAACGACGAATTTCATAAGCATATTTATATCTTAGAGAGAGCATAAAAGCTCCTTAATTCTTTACATGAGGAGCTTTTCATATGCCAGTCAGGCGTCCAGGTTGGAAGAAGAAGGTAAGGGCAGGAGGAGAAAACAGAGACGTTAACCAAGATGGAGTGCCTCGGTTGGCTACACTGAGTTGGGGAAGGGGATAAAGGAATAAAAGAAGGAGGAAGGAATTCAGGTTGGAGTGTATGCAGAGACGACTTTTGAGAATTGTCTACTATCGGCAGATTGGACTGAGTGTCTTTTTTATAATTATGAGCTTCTTTTGGACACCCTTGGTCGATCGGCTCTTTCGGCCAGATGACTAGGTCGCGACTTGGTGTTTTTATGGTCGCTTAATGCTGTCGTTGATTCTCAGATGCTATTGAGTAGAATCTCAATTCATTTCCCACAACAAAAAAAAAACTTATCAACGCCTGTTTTTATTCTTGTTAGAATTTAGTCCTCCGCTGACATGGATCATGCTCATGTACGAAAAATTTTCTATTCCTGACGTGGACCTTTTCACTTCCTTTGGAAAGTTATACAACACTCTTATATTAAGAATTGCTGTGTAGCATGTAAATTTTAGTGCCGTCTCATTTCGTGCAAGTGTAACCCTCATAAGGCCCTAAAGCTGTTTGAGACACAATAAAGCTCAGACTGGTTGATTGACTGATAAATGTGTCATGTGGGTGCGCGAAGAGAAATCCCAGTCGAAGTGCATACCTAGGTATTTTACCGAAGCGACATACTCAATAGGGCTGCATTCACACTTTCTATAGCTGTAGGCGTGCGACACTATTGGATGGGGAAGTTCAACATGTTTGATGATATCTACATCTTGCCTGCTATGAAACACCCCAACGGAACACATTACCGGAGCAAGAGAAATTCAGCATGAGAGGTTTCGAGCGCTGCCACACATTGGTAGGTGGGCTATGGATCATTCCAATAATCGCCATCTCCAAGCTACCATCTTTGTATGCTCAGCAGCGGTGCGCGCTCTGAGCTAGCGCAGCAGGGGGTAAGTATCAGACGCCGCGCATGCGTGAACTGCGCGGTACTCGACATTACTTGCCCGGGTGAGAAGTGCTACAAAGCTGTATTGGAACTAGAGTAGAGAATAAAACTCAAGATAATATAAATCGGGAATTAATTCCTGATTGAAGTCATGATTTACATAAATTGGGGCACTTTCATTTGAGTAGTTTATATAAAACATTTCCCTTAAAAGCGATCACCCAAATGTATTTATTACCATGTGTATATCATTTCATTCTTTTTTCTGCGCATTTGTTTTTTTTTATTTTAATCAAAGAATCAGCAAACAAGGCTTATATGAGACTGAACGTGAACAAACAGAGGTGCTCTTTCAAGCAAATTGGAGCGTCGACCTTGATTCCACTTCGTTCATGAGCTGCAGAACCCTTTACCCAATTACTTTTTACGTTGACAAGAAAATTATGTTTCATGCAGCTGGTGAATACAAAAACATTACTTAAAATATTTTTTTCAAAAATTAAAAAAAAACGTGAGGTTTTTCATAAAAATAGTTTTTTTATATCTATGGCACAGTATACGCAGTATGTGTAATCTTATTGATACCACGAGACATTTTATTCAGCTTATTTTGACCATATCATTTGTAGCAATACATTAAGAATTTAATTGTTTACAAAAACACATATAATGACAGATCTGTTTGAACAACATGCATACAAATTTAGGACATGTGAAACTTCGAGAAACAGTTATTCTCTTTGTTGAAGCAGAAAGGAACATTACATTTCTGGCATGACACGAAGGATTTCGCCTGGCAACTTGGAATCTTGCATCTTGCCCGTGTCTCCTTCCTGAGGGGGTAAATTGTTTGCCTTCTTGTCCAGGCAATCGTCCTGTGAGGGTACTGCAGCTGCAGGATCACGTGTCCTTTTCTCGATGAGTTGAGCCTCGACTTCCTTGCTCGTGCGCCCCCGTTTCTTCTCGGCAGGTTTTCCAGCTTTGCAGAGACCTTCAGCTACAGACGACTTGAAGTCAGCAAGCGGCATTCCTTTTCCGTTCCTTCGCCTCCAGTGAAGTCAAGAGTTTACTACTGCGAAATCAAGGATACAAAAAATATCTTGAGATACTATTTCTTTGATCTGAATTGAATTTTGTAAAGCTTTTGCATCAAGTCCAGGAGATTCTTACATGTAGCTGTTGTACACTTTCACTCACTGCGGGCGCGGAAGCATCAGGGTGCTGTCTTTTCTTCCGTCCTACCTCTCAGTTTGAGCCACTGGGTCACTTCCAACATAGGTATAAAAAGTGGTCGCCACCTTGTTGTCACACCACGCCATGACCCACACATTGACACCGTCGACGGTTACGGCTCCTTCATTCATGCTGCCGCGTCCGTTGGCTTTCAGCTGGGTTTTTATTTTGGTAGCTTGTACCCAGGCAATTAGTGTGCTCTCACTTTTGCTCTCACTTGCTCAAGAAGGAAGCAAGCCCTTCTTGGCGTGTTGAACTGCGAGTGGCACACTGATGAACTAGTTGTCAAAAATATCTTGTGCTTCTTTTGTAAAGGAACAGTCTTGCACACTCGCAAGACTACGTTGCTGCTATACTTCGTTTCAGCTTCGGTCCGAGCGCGGCCGATATTATGAGTGGAAGGGCCAATCAGATAGCGGAAGAGGAACAACGTCATGGCGTGCTCTCTGCAGTTGATAGGACCAGCCGGTATTCGCCGTCTCTCTGTGCGTGCCCCTCCGCCGGCTAGTCCTATCAAGCGCACAGAGCCCGCCATGACGCTGCGCTTTTTGCGCTGTTTGATTGGCCTTTCGGCTCATAACATCGGCCGCGCTCGGACCGAAGCTGAAACGAAGTATAGTGTCAAGGTCTGGACATCCAACCGGTACGCTGTTCTCCTGAGCGCCAGCAAACACCTCAAACTCATAAGTGAATCCCGGTATTCCACTCAGTACAAATGCCTTATTTCCCTACTTGTGAGGATTTTGGCGGTTGACATGATGATATTGATTTCGTCGGGATCGTTTGCTCATCTACTGAGACATACTCCTTTTTTGGAATCAAGTACAGCCGCGCGTTCAGCATATCCAAACGCGATCTGATTTTTTGCTGCTTGTAGTGTGATATGTCAGCAATTCGGACAAATGTGGTATTGCCGTTGATATGAAGGAACCCTATAAGCTCCTTCCAATGGTTGCACGATCAAATGTCTGAAATAGAGTGCTGGCCGTTGTGACTGCTTCAATAAAGTCTCGTCGCTGGGAGCTTCACAATGGACAAAAAGAAAATGGACCTTTTCCGAGAAGCGTTCTGCACACGCGCGAGCGCCCGATGCCAAGCGGTGGAAGTTGGCACGAAAAATCAAGGAAATTCGGAATGAGGCTGTAGATCGACGAGTAGAACACGTAATCGCAGCATATATATAATTGTGTTACACAAAAAAGGAACGTGGACGGAAAGAAAAACACGACGTTTGGGTGGACGCTACGGATTTCCCTCTTTAAAGTCGCGTTGGGCCGTTGGGCACGCGACGCAGCTCAGAAAGCGAAGCAACTGGTAGCGTAGCTCCCATTATCGATTGGTAGCGCAGGTAGGTCACTTCCTCGATTTTCGGTTCGCACAGACACCACCTGGTGCCGTCGGTATTTGGAAAAGGTCCATCGTTCTAAAGAACTGTTCAAGCTCTGCTCCAGTTAGACTGCCTTGTCTGGCTCACACTACACTCTAAGAAAAAAGGGAGCGCGACTTAGTCCCTCGGGGGACTAAATGCGCTGCCACCACCATTAGTCCCCTAGGGGAGCAACTGTAACGGGAGCAACTGTTGCGCCCCGTCAGTTAGTCCCTCGCACTAGCACCGTTGGGACTAACTGTTGCACCCTTTCAGTTACACCTCGAGGACCAACTGTTAGGCCCTTGCACTTGGTCCTTTGGGACCAACTGTTACACCGTTTCAATTGAACCTCGAAGACGAACTGTTAGACCCTTGCGCTTGGACCCCTGGGACTAACTGCTACACCGGTTCAAATGAACCCCGAGGACTAACTGTTAGGCCCTTGCACTTGGACCCCTGGGTCTAAACGTTGCGCCCTTGGATTTAGGCTTCTGGGACTAAAGGTTTATTTTTTTCATTTGGTCCCGTGCCACAAATCTCCCGAAACGAAATTGTGGAGTTCAGGTTAAAAGTAGCTTT